ATGAGCATTGTATCTTAATATATTTTTTATTTTCTCAACATTTCATATATCTCATACAAAGCATCTTCCTCTAAGTTACAATTTGCAGAATGGTGGGGGATTCACTTTCTATGTGTCATGTTAACATCAAAATTCTACTCCAAAGTTTTTATCAGAATGGTATTAAAGATTGAGACCACAATGATTCATTAGATCATCCAAAAAGATTACAAGGCATATAAAATGAGCCTGTGCCTAATTTATTAAGTTCTTGATACAGATGAAATTACCTTCTCACAGATAAAAGGGCATCACTTCATAGCATTTACCAGAGCAGCTAAAGTTTGCAGGGCCAAGTATGGAAAAGAGAGAGCTGCCCAGACAGGAAGCTGAGGAGATGATAAAATGTATTAGGGAACTGAACCGCCCAGGACCTGGGAAGAACTGACCAAAAATATTAGAGGCAACAGTGACCAATTTTCAGAAACCCAGCTTTAAAAAAAAAAAAATCCCCATGTATTATAGACTATAGCACCGCTGTACTCTTTCCAGCAGTCAGCTCATTTAGCACTTCCAAGCTGGGAACAATATGGGACTAGATCTTGTTACATGAACATTATCTTTCTGTGATCTCTTGCTATCTCTTCAGAGCCCTTAGAACATACCCTAATTGAAGTTTCTGGGACATGCCTGCACTGTCCCACCTCGCTGGGTCCTCAGTGGTATTTGAGTTTATACAAAATATAGTCTGGGTTTCTAGGGAACTATGAATTCTTAGAGAGTCAGATCTGGTACCCTGGATAAAGCTCCCATGCCAAGTGAATTTTTCTCAGGTACTCAGGTCCCAACATTATGAACAGGAATTCTACCTGGAAAACAAAACTCTCTTACCTGAGCTTGTTCCCTCTCTCTCTCTCTCTCTAAAGAGCAGAGATAGAACCCCCCCCCAAAACAAGCTTATCTTACATTTATGTGATGAGAATTTGTTATTCATCTCCCAATAAGTGTGCAAAACCTGCAGGATGTCACCATTCTCAGAAGCCATCAATGACTATGACTGTGATTCAGAAGGGAGGACTAGCTGGAGCTGCAGGAGGTGGCTAACAGCCTGGGCAGGAAGCATAATTGACTGGAGGGACAGCTCCTCACCTTTCCTGATCTTTCACAACCTTAACACTTTGATGAATACTGGTCAGTTATTTTGCAGAATGTCCCCCAATATGTGTTTGTCTGATGTTTTCTCATGATTGGGATGATGCATGTTTGGGACAAGAATACCACATAAGAGATGTGTGCTTCTCAGAGCATCGTTCATCATTTTGCTATGTCTTATTACGAGACATGTTAACCACTCTGTTAAACTTATGTCCACCAGGGTCCTCTGCTGTAAAGTTAATATCTTTCCCATTGTAATTAATTAATAGCTTAATATAGCATCTGTTAATGGATAGCATCTGCAGATTTGATGCATTGTTCACCTAATAATGGTTTTTAAATTTCCTTCATTTAGATGACTTCTAAAGATTTTAAGAAATATTTTCAATTTCAAATTGTAATTTAAAAGAAGCCTAAATCATCAGAACACCCATAAAACCTCCTATGCACTATGTAAGAGTGGGGTTCATTCACAGGATACCAACAATTATAGAACTCATTTAGGTTTACTAGTTAAAGTATCATTACCACATGGCAACCAGAGGCACTATTCATGTTTCATCTGGGAAGTCAGTTTTACATTTTGTTATTCCAGACAATTAATAATTCATAAATTATATTACTTCAACATTCACAATATCAGATTTCATGAATGTTTATAGAATGTTACTTAACATTTGCATATCAAAAAGTCATAAAGATGGCACTCTTATTATATATTCTTTTTATGTACATATATGTGGGTTTTAAATATATGGGAAAAGGAAGATGTTAAAGGCTATACACTGAAGTAACAGAAACGGTTATAGCAAGGAAGACTACCAATGTACAAGTTGGGTTCAAAGAAACTATTTAATGATTTATTTTGAAATAACTTCAAACTTCAGGAAAGTTGCAACAACAGTGAAAAAAAATCCCCATATCCCCCATACCTAGATTCACCAACTGTTAACAGTTCACTGCATTTGTTTCATATCTGTCTGCTCAACTGCCTTATTATCATTGTTCTTTTCCTGAGTATATGAGATAGAGCTGCAGATGTAATACACCACAATTCCTAAGTACTCCACTAGGTATTCTCCTTGAACAAGTACACTTTCTTACAGAACCACCAACCCAATTAGCAACTCAGAAAATCAACCTTGACAGAACACTACTGTCAAATCCACAAATCCCATTCCAATCTCAACTACTGTCCCAACAAAGTCTTCCCCTTCTGGTCCTGGATCCCATCAAGGGATATGTTTCTTCATTATCAGACTTAGGTCATGCTTTCTTGGTAGTGACTACAGAAAACATGGATCAATGTATCAGGTCAGGGGCCACACAGTGCTGGCCATGGTGACATTAGCCTTGATCATTTTGTCATTTTGGTGTCTGCCAGGTTTCTCTGTCATAATATCACCATTATCCCCATGGAAATTGGTAATCATTCATGGAGCTATATTCTGAGATTATGCCAATAATCTATTCCTCATCCACTCACCAATCTTAGTATCTATTAATAATCTCACCTGAATCAATCATTCATATGATGGTTACCAAATACTGGCTTTTTATTTCCACTATTCCTCATACACTTACTAGAGAAGGATATTTTCCTTCTCCCCACTTACTTATTTCAATATCATATGGATTCATGGCTTTCTATTTTATACCATAGGTTATATTCCATTGTATTAATTTTACACTCAGATTGTTCCAGATTTGGCCAATAAGAGCATCTCCAAGATGGCTTTTATGTACTTTATGTACATAGCAAAAGTACATTGAAAGCCCATTATTCCTTGAGACGTTCCTTGCCTTCTCTCACAGGAAGGTATTCTAGCCTCATATGCTTTTCCAGGCACAGGTCTGGAATCAGGCATTTACAAAGGAGTTCTGCTTCCTTTAAGTGGAAGACAGTATCTAGAAACCAAACTCTGGAAGCCAGTGCTCATTGCTACTGGGATGGATTTGCTTCTAAGCAATCTCAGCATGAAGAGCTAGGAAATACAGGTATGGAGGACATTCATATACCACAGACACACATGCATTTGTGTGTACGTTTGTATACATACACATGTATATTTGCACATACACGTGCATGTGTCTATACACATATGTATGCACACACACCTATAAATACATCTATGTATATATATTTTAAAAAATGATCAATTCCTACCAATACCTCCAATTCTGATTCAACACCTTGGGGTTCTGTTCAGTCTTCTGCCTTTCTATATTTGTAAATCTTTTCAACAGGTAGAAACGTGGCTCTCATTTTCTTTTTTTAAAAGATTTTATTTATTTATTCATGAGATATACAGAGAGAGGAACAGACACAGGCAGAGGGAGAAGCAGGCTTCCATGCAGGAAGCCTGACGGGGGACTCAATCCCGGGATTCCAGGATCACACCCTAGGCTGAAGGTGGCGCTAAGCTGCTGAGCCACCAGGCTGCCTGGCTCTCATTTTCAATACATTCATCTTTCCCTCAATGTAATCAATCTCCAACCATGCCAAAAATTTCCTCTATCTATAATCTCCTTAACAGCCAACTCCCCAGTGTCCCATGACTCTGTGCTATGAACAGTTGTACAATTCTGTTCCTCTGCGTGGAGCTCTCTTCCTGTGACTGACCTGCAATGGGACTGCTTTCCTTGTGCTGGGAAAGGAAGGGAAAAGAAAGGAATAGCTGTAATTTTAAAAAACATACTCCAGTATTATTTATAAAATAAAAATAATAAAAAATAAATAATGCTATAGATTGAATGTTTATGTCCCATACCACCTGTTCCCTCCAAAAAACTCATGTGGAAAACTAATCCCAATATAATATTTGGAGGTGGGGCTTTGAGGGATGATTAGATCATGAGAGTGGAGCCCTCATGAATGGGATTATTGCCCATATAAAAGAAACCCCAGAGAGATCCATCACCATGTCTTTCTGTCACGTGAGGACACAGGGACAAAACAGGCTTCTATGAACCAGGAAGCAGGGGCTCAGCAGACATAAATTCTGCCAGCACTGAGATCTTAGACTTCCCAGCCTCCAGAAGTGTCAGAAATGAGTATCTGTTGTTTATAAACCATCTAGTCCATGGACTTTGTCATGCAGCCTGAATAAACTAAGATGGACAATTAGACAACATGGGGTTTACAGTTTCTAGTCACACTAAGGATGCTAGGAGGCTCCAACCCTTAGCTCTTACATTCCATGGGATCCTGATCCACATTCTCAATGTCATTACTCAGTCATTCACTCACACTCTCCTGGCTTAGTAAGAGTTAAATTTGACAATTTCTAGCACAGGGCCTGACACTTAGGTAATGTTTCATAATATATGTTTAGTCATTATACAGAGGGCACAGAGAGGGGGCTACCTAAGATAACCCAGCCACCCAGTCCTCCCCACCAGACATTTATAATGACTCTTTCTCCTAGTACATTGGTTGGTGCCAGCCCAGGAACAAAATGCCTGAGCCCAGAGACCATAACTGAGGACTAAACACGGGCACCAGTCACAGCTGCCAATATCCTCCAACTTCCTTTACTTTTCAAAGAAAGCAACCAAAGACCCATGTGTGAAGAAGAACACAGGACAGGCATGAGTTATAGGTCCATGGTAATCAGCTCAGAGTTTGTCTCTTCTGCTCTGAATACATGGGCTTCCTCTAGAGAAGATCTTAGAACTAGTTTAATTTTTGACCAACTTATTTTAATTTATAGCTTAACACTATTAACTAAGTTAAAGAAATAAAGATTACATTATTTATCAAGGACAAAATACATTATTCTTTGGGAATAATTTTAAATTTAGAAAAAGTTTGCAACAATAGTACAAATAACCTTTTATTCTCTAAATTATTGAGAGCATATTGTCGATATGCTTTAGTTAAGAGAATATATCACATTTCAATCATCAAAATCAGGAAACACTAATATCTACCACCTAATCCTCAGACCCCATTCGTGTTTCACCCATTCTCTGAATCACTTCCTTCACAGCAAAATGATTTAATCCAGGATGATGCATTACAATATCCCATTTCTTTCAGTCTCTTTCAACTTGGAACACTTTCTCAGTTTTCTTGACTTACATGAACTTGTTATGTTTGAAGATTACAAGCCATTTATTCTAAAGAGTGCACCTCAAAAGGAGTTTGTTTGATGGTTCCCTCCTGCTTAGACTCCAGTTGTGCACTTTTGGCTGTATTGTCATTGCATCCTATTAGATGGTACACAAATTCAATACTATTGAATACCAAATGTCAGTATTATTTATGTTAACTTCAATTGCTTGACTGGGTTGGGTCAGCCAAGGTTCTCCACTATAATCACACTTATGTTTTACCAGCTGTCATGCTTGGCCAACAGCATACACTTGAGGACCACAAAGATGGAGGGCAAATGGACATGCTTCTTCCCGTTTGTTTCCTGTGGGCTTCCCATCCCTCTTGTGCTGTCAGCATCTTAGCAATGCTGCTTCACCCAGGCAGGCATGTAGGCCTTCTGAGAGCAGCAGCTAAATTCAGTTTTCTAACACTTGTACACCAGCTTCATCATGCCCCATCAGATACCAGTGCCAGGCAGCCAGCACTCTCTCCCTGGCCAAAATGGGCCCCAATCCCATGAGGTCTCTCCTCTGGACTCAGATACCGACATCAATGGAATAGGTTCCTTTTGGGGGGGCTGCACTTCAGCTCTGAGGGATGCCTCCCCTGTTCCCTTCATTTGACCAGCCTAGAGCTGGTAGCTGCTTCCTGCAGTTGTTTAGTGATACATTTGACTTTTTTTTTTACTTTCAGATTCCTGCTATCTTCACAATTTCTCTCTGCTCCCTTTTCCCCTTTCAGATCCTTTGTGAACAATTGTGCACCAAGTTTAACAATTCTTTGTATCATATTGTGTGCGTTCAAATCATTGTTATGGTTTCTGTCTTCTGACAATCCTGATATGTTTCACTGGAATTTAATCTCAGGAAGAGTAAAATTTATGTCCCATTCACTGTTGTACATTGCCTTCTATTTAATAAGTAACTAACAAATGCTGATTGAATCAACAAATGTTTGTATTTATAGGGAGTCACTAACATGTTTTTCTCACTGTGGGTTGAAGATTCAGCCCTACTCTGCATAAAATATATACACATTGTCCAAAATGGTAATGTTTGTAATCATGAAAAATTAGAAACAAGATGCCTTTCAACAGAATTAACTTATTTTAATAGAACAGAGTAGAAGATGCTAAAAATAACAAGAGCTACATGTATAAACATGGACATAATTCAAAACCATTATGCTGGTTTTAGTAAAGCAATAGTGTTCAGGATAAGGCACAAAGCGAGGTGTGACAAAATGTTACTGGAATCACTGAAATTCACTGAGTTTATACATAGTGGCGAAAAGCAGAATGAACAGCAGTAAAATCAGTGTGGGGAAGGAGGGTGGTGTCCTATAGTTGGCCCACCTGGATTGTGGACCAGCAGAATAATGAGGAAAGGAATGTAAGGCCTAGAGACTTAACAGCCACATCAAAAGATAACTCTGTATACAATATAACTGTGGTTTGAAATCAGTGAAATAGGGGTGAAATAATCAAAATTGAAAGACAGTTGTCTGCTCATTTGGGAAAAAAATCAAAGTTGGATCTTTAGTTTACATATTTAACTATCAACAGAAAGAGATCAATAGATTATTCCATTTACTTTAAATACGTGTTTCATGTTTTAAACACAAAATACTAAGTTCTAATAAGAATCTTCTTGTATCAACTCAAGAAGCAGAAATACATTTTATACTATGGGTTGACAAATCTTTTTTTTTAATTTTTATTTATTTATGATAGTCACAGAGAGAGAGAGAGAGAGAGAGGCACAGACATAGGCAGAGGGAGAAGCAGGCTCCATGCACCAGGAGCCCAACATGGGATTTGATCCCGGGTCTCCAGGATCGCGCCCTGGGCCAAAGGCAGGCGCCAAACCGCTGCACCACCGTGGGATCCCCAAATCTTTTTTTTATGACAAATCTTTTTATTTCTAATGTTCAAGTTATAAACATAAATGCTTTTAGTTCTAATAACAGAAAACTCTGATCCAAACTATTTAGTATCTATGAGGTAGACAATATTATCTCCATTTTGCAGATGAGGAAATTGAGGCAAAGAGATTAAACCATGACACAGAACACTCAAATAAGTGAAAGACATAGAAAAACCTGTTTGAAAAAAAGTGTATAATTGTAGAAGGAAAAATGTGGCATTCTACCACACTAAATACAAATGTAGATAGTTTTTTGCTCACATAAAATCTGCACTTCACACTTAAAACTTACATAAGCATATAGTTTGGACATAGCACAAATATAAAATGGGGAAAATGTCTTCAATGGGCCCTGTTTTCAATCTGTACAGTATAATAAGTACTACTGTTCAAAGCCAATTTTGAAAATTCAGATGTGTACTATAAACAATGGTTTGCTGAATCATTGCATACTTCAAGTAAATCTTGATTAGTCATTACTGGGCTCATTTACTAAAAGAATAGTTGGTTAACAATGTCTATACAGATTTACATATGCCACCAAAAAGTAGAAAACACATATGACACATAGCATTTCATGCGTTCAAGGTTTCTTTTAAAAATATCTATTGAGGCCTAAGTATATGATGGAACAACAAGAGTATTTAGTGTCAGAAATTGTTGTGTATGTTACAAAAACTATTTAGGTAAGGGTGCATTGTTCCTGCTCTAACTATTTTGGATTCCAAAACAAAAATCAAGCATTCAGAAAGTAGCAGTTATAAAGTACACTCATATGTATAAATCTGACAAAGCTCAGAGGCTATGATTATTCACATAGTGAATGTCACTATGTGACACTTAGTGCTGTTACTTTGATGACTCAACTCATTTGTGCCTTCTGAAAACTACATATCCTTTGTTGAGCATAACGGCCAGATAAATATTTTGTGTTAGATTATTAAGAAGCTATTTACTGCTGCATCCAAAACACTGCTTCTAGCATAAGATTATTTCTAGATGAGGAGGCTTTCTTCACTTCCTAAACTGATAATTTTTTGTTATGTATGCTCCAATAAACAAATCTTGAAATGTTTTCCAAGTTATTAGCTTTTATTCTACTCTCAATAATCTGATGACTAATCAGATGTAGCTTCTTTGTGAAAAATTTCCTACATTCATTTTGGGGGGTTTCCATTTGTAGATTTCTGATTTACAAAATGTTTCTTGATGGAAGTTTATTAAAATGCAGGATAATGAGAACAGTTTCCCCCCTAATGAATTCTCTGACATAGAGCATTTCTCATACCTTCATTACATTCATAAGATATATGAGATAAGAGATGACTAGCATATACTATGACAATAAAAAGTCCTATACATAAATGGCCAAACAAAACTGAAATTTCTTTCTGGTTCATGACAAGACTTACAAGTGATGTTAGAGAAGGCAGAACTCTGCACAGAACCCTGATTTCTTCCACCTTGTGATTCTGTAATCTCTAATAACTAGCTCCCAAGTTACCCTGAGGGTGATCTCCATTACCCTTGAATAAGGAAAGAAAAATGGAAATAGGAAAAATCCCAAATGAGGTCTTCTATAGGGTTGGAATGTGTGCTCATACTCTGATTCAGAGGTCATATGGCTTTACAAGAATGGAAAGAAGGCTAGAAAATCTTGACAAGTTGTGTTAACTACAAAGAAAGAGAAATGAGTATTGTGAAAAATATAGCAAGTTTTTCTGCTATAGGGTTTCTACCCTATGTGAATTCCTTGATGATTCCTAAGGGCTGATTTCCGGCCGAAAGTTTTTCCACATTCACAGCATTTATAAGGCTTCTCTCCTGAGTGAATTCTCAGATGGGTAGTGAGGGTAGATTTATGACGGAAACTCTTCCCACATTCATTACACTCAAAGGGTTTTTCCCCTGTATGAGTTCTCTGATGATTAGTAAGAGTCGACTTTGTAAGAAAAGATTTCTCACAGTCATTACACTGGAAAGGTTTCACTCCTGTGTGAGTTCTCTGATGTACATTGATGGCTGACAGATGACGGTAAGTTTTACCGCATACATTGCATTGAAAGGGTCTATCTCCTGTGTGAGTTCTCTGATGTTGAGTGAGGGCTGACTTCTGGCAGAAGGTTCTCCTACATTCATTACATTCATAGGGCTTTTCCCCTGTGTGAGTTCTCTCATGTCGGGTGAGGGATGACTTCTCATAAAAGGACTTCCCACATTCATTACATTTATAAGGTTTCTCTCCTGTGTGAATTCTCTGATGTGCATTAACATCTGACTGCCGATAAAAAGTTTTACCACACTCAATACACTGAAAGGGCTTCTCTCCTGTGTGAGTTCTCTGATGTACATTAACTTCTGACTGCCGATAGAAATTTTTACCACATTCCCTGCATTGAAAGCGTTTCTCTCCTGTGTGAGTTCTCTGATGCACATTAACGTCTGCCTGCCGATAGAAAGTTTTACCACATTCCTTACACTGAAAGGGTTTCTGTCCCGTGTGAATCCTCTGATGTGCATTAACATCTGACTGCCGATAGAAAGTTTTACCACATTCCTTACACTGAAAGCGTTTCTCTCCTGTGTGAGTTCTCTGATGAACATTAACATCTGACTGCCGATGAAAAGATTTACCACATTCATTACATTGAAAGGGTTTCTCTCCTGTGTGAGTTCTTTGATGTGCATGAACATCTGACTGCCAATAGAAAGTTTTACCACATTCATTACACTGATAGCGCTTCTCTCCTGTGTGAATTCTCTGATGTGCATTAACATCTGCCTGTCGATAGAAAGTTTTGTCACACTTACTACACTGAAAGGGTTTCTCTCCTGTGTGAATTCTCTGATGTAGCTTAACATCTGACTGCCAATGGAAAGTTTTGCCACATTCATTACATTGGAAGCGTTTCTCTCCTGTGTGGATTCTCTGAAGTACCTTAATGCCTGACTGCCGATGGAAAGTCTTACTGCGTTCATTACATTGGAAGTGTTTCTCTCCTGCATGAGTTTTCTGATGTTGAGTGAAGGCTGACTTCTTACAGAAAGTTTTTCCACATGCATTACACTCATGGGGTTTCCCCCCTTTATACATTCCCTCATGTCGAGTGAGAGAGGATTTCCTGCAAAAGGACTTCCCACATTCATGACATTTATAAAGTTTCTCCTCCATATGTGTTAACTGATAATCCGTGACAGCTGACTTGTGACTTGTTTTCCTATATAAATTAAACTCAAGGGGTTTCTCCCCTGTGTGTGTTCTCTGATGCACTATGAGGTTTGACTTGTAGTTGAATGTTTTCTCACACTGACTACATTTGAAGAGATCCTGATGTCTCTGTTTTTTCTCAACTTGAGTGAAATGTGACACCCTTTTGAAATTATTTTCAACTTGATTGCTTTCATATTGTTTTATTTCCATGTGGACCCCATAACATTTCAAAAGAGTTAACTTCTCACAGGTTTCTCCATGTCCATTATATTCACAGAGTTTTTCTCTTGTGTCAGTTTCCCTGTGTGGAATTATTGTGGTCTTTTTTCCTATGGACTTTCCACCACCATATTTTGAAATCTTCTCTGAAGACTGAGTATTTAAGTGCTGAATTATACCATTCTTATGACTCAGGGCTTTCTCATATTGATTATTTTGATAAGAAATCTCTTCAGTATGAGGTTTCGCCTGCTTAATATCAAGTAATTTCTCATATACATTTGATACGTGAGGCTTTTTTCTTGAAGAAGTTCTATTACTACCAATTGATATTAAAATATTTTCCAAATTCATTCCATTTAAGTCATATTTGAAGGGCACTTTTCTTGAAAGAACACAATTTGTACTCATATCAGACAATTTTCTTAAAGCATAAACTTTCTCTGAGGACAGTTTTTTGTTGCTGAATAAAAGTTGTGGCAAATATTTGTCTTGGTATTTCTGGATTCTCTCTGTTAGGTAATGAACTTTGTTGTCTTCTAGAAATAAAAATATTGAACAAACCATAAGAATTTTATAGTTCTAATGGAATTAGATTAACATACAAATGTTCTATTATATATTTGATTCTTGGTTTCAGTAATCTCACAGGGTCAAGGATGCTTTTTCCTGACCCAGTTTGAGAAAATTTGTGGAAAAAGAGAGAAAAACTATTAACATGCAGATGTATAATTATTCAGCACTTTATAAATAAAATGTTTATAATGGGTAGAGAACTGAAGATATAAATTCAAGAAGCAGTGAAAAGAGGATGGAAGATACTACACGAGTGACAGATCGAGGTAGGAGAAAAATCACAGAAAATAAGATGAGTCTAACTGAGCTAATGAAAAGTAACTGGAATCTCAAGAAAAACCAGTAAACAAAGGTGATCATGGGGAAAATATGAGACATTAAGGAGACAGACTACAGAGTAGGTCTAATACCCTCAAACCTATATTGTTTTCATAGCATCCAAACAAGTTTTCATGCTTCCTCTTGAATTTCTTTTTTTTTCCTCTTGAATTTCTATCCTACACAACAAACATATAAATTTCTGAATGTGCCAATGACCTTATATTTAAGAGTCATCGGATTGTACTCTAACTTCCCTCCCAACTATAATTTATAGGAATGCCAACTTCCAAAATAAAGTATAAGACAATATCAAATTAAGTAATATTGTGCCAATATAGATCTGATGAATCATTCTATTTTGGTTTTGATACCTTCATATTGCTCTACTGTAGCCACTCAACAGTTGAACCTATCATGATAATCACATTTATGTTCACTTGCTTTCCCTTAAAACAGCATTACCAGTGCCAAAATGCTAATACTTAATTTTGTTTTATCTTTCACATCTCACATATTAGGTTCCTATTTATCATCAGAATTTAAGGATCATATTTTTCAACAAAATCCCAGAAAATGAGTAACATTAATGTTGATTTACCATTTTATGAATATCATCCAGATTTGCTACTCAATTGAACAAAGTCTATCTGAAACTAAAAAAACACTGGCCCAAGCCAAGTACCCATGGAAAACTGTTACAAGTTGTCACTTAGCAAACAAACGTACACCAACTAAATGCACATCAGATTTTCAAGTTGATGTTGTAAAACACCCTGGTGAATATCCTCTGCGTCAGTTTAGTCAGTTGTCTCATTAAACTACTCATTCTTGACCACAAGGTCAAAGTGTGTACTCTCACTCAAAGCCAAGGCTAGGATGTAGGAAAATGACATAATAACAATATTATTCTAAACCTCCAAGAATGCCTTTTCAAATCTTCCTACTTTCAATTTTTTTTTAATTTTTTTTTTTTAATTTATGGTAGTCATACAGAGAGAGAGAGAGAGGCAGAGACACAGGCAGAGGGAGAAGAGGCTCCATGCACCGGGAGCCTGACGTGGGATTTGATCCCGGATCTCCAGGATCGCGCCCTGGGCCAAAGGCAGGCGCCAAACTGCTGCACCACCCAGGGATCCCAAATCTTCCTACTTTCAAAATGTTCAAACCTTATATTATAAATCTAAAAGTAGTTCCTGTGTAGGCAAGCTGTTTTAAAACAACCATAGGTAACACTGCTTTGTAATATACCAAATTTTTATATGCGTATTTAATGTTTTAAAATCAGAATGCATCTTGCAATTGATCACAGATATGTGATAAGCAGGCCACCATATAACGAGCAAAACAGTTTTTCCCTGGTGGTCTATCACAAAACGGACCAGTTATAATCTATGGCTTCTTAGATTTAAGAAAATGACAATTTATTTTGACAGATGGGGCAAGATGGTGGAAGAGTAGGGGTCCTCAATTCACCTGGTCTCACCAACTTACCTAGATAACTTTCAAAACATCCTGAACACCTAGGAATTCAATCTGAGATTTAAAGAGAGAATACCCAGAACACTACAAAAGGGTTTTTGCTTCTAGCAAGGTAGGAAGGTAGGAAAAAAATAGAATAAAAAAGAATCAAGTGGGGGAGGGGGAATGCGAGGAGCCAGGCAAAAGCGGGGTGGTGAGAGACTCCTGGACAGGAAATCCCAGCCCTGGAGAAGCAGGAACTTTAAAAATCACCACTGGAGTTTTCCCGGACAGAAAAGTGCTTAGGAGGGAAATCAGGACAGTGAAGCCTCCAGATTCCCACAGTCATTAATAGAGGAGGGGAGCCTGGAGGAAACCACACTACAAACTGTAGACCAATCTCGGTAAAAGGCTAGAGCACGCAGCCCATGGGGCATTTGAGAGAAGCCAGTTGGTTAGGCAGGCCGGTTCCGGACAGAGGTGTCTGCCCTACTGCCTTCCGGAGCCACGACCTCTAGGAGCACAGTTCGAGCAGCACAGGGCCCTGGATCCCAGGGCGCCCAGAATACAAGGCCCATGATCCTGTGTTCCCCCTGGGACAGGCAGAAGCGAGGAGGGCACAGGACAGCGAGAACTCTCCTGATGCTAAGCGTCCTCAAGCTGTGCAGATCAACGTATGCACGCTGCCCTGGGAGCAAATAGGCCAGTGCAGACTGGAACACTGTGGTTAATTACTAGCAGGTAGCTGACTGCAGAGCTGGAGATCTGGCTGCCACCATTGTTGTTTTTCATCCTTGTTTCACCACTTGCCTGGGAGAGGTGGGGCTGCAAGGGAACGGAGGCCTCACAGGATAAACAGCTCACACTGAGCCTGGCATCTGGCAGGTGCTTGGTAAGATGTCTACAGACAAGGGGCGGGGCATCTCCACCCAGGTACACGCACTGGAGAATCAGCACAGCAGACCCCTACACCAGAACTAGCTGGAGGCACAGGAGAAGAACAAGTTCTTCACCAAGCAGCGCTAGAAAGCTCCAGGGGAGATTGAGGGACTTGTAGTATACAAAACAAGACAGTCCCCCCATTTCTTAAAAAAAATTTTCCCTTTTTTCCATTACAACTAGTTTTTTATCAGACTAAAATTTTCCAATATTTTTTCTCTTTTCCCACCTTAACTACAATATTTTACCACCTCTTCATTTTTAAGTTTCTTCCTTTCTGACTTTCATATTTCTATAATTACATGTCTTAGATATATTTTTCACTTCTGGATTCCCATCAACATATTCAATTTTATTTTGGGAGACATACGAGACACGAGATTTGTTTTGTGCTTTTTGTTTCCTCTGCCTTATTTTGTTCTACAATGGACAAAGTTAATACCATCAAAACATGACCAGCATGCAACCAGGACCAAGTGGAACACCGAGCTGGTTCATTCTATGAGATTATATTCTCTCTTCATTCCCATTCTGCCCCGCCTCTTTTATCTCGTTTATGTTTTGGTGGTCAAGGTTGGGGCTTTCTGCAAGTATTGCTGGCTTATATAAATTTGGGATGGAGCATCTTCTAACATAAAGAACATAATAGACTCAGAACCAAGACGATCACCCTCAAGGACCCCCAGGTTAACTACATTCTCCCTCTACTACAACTTCTTCACCACCACCATTTCCCAGTCCCTCCCACCCCTTTTTTATTTTTCTTTATTTTTTGTTTTCACCTCTTTCCTTTTATTTATTTTTTAAAATTTTATATTTACTTTCTTTCTTTTTTTTTTTTTTTTTTTTTTAATTTATTTATGATAGTCACAGAGAGAGAGAGAGGGGGGGGGCAGAGACACAGGCAGAGGGAGAAGCAGGCTCCATGCACCGGGAGCCCGATGTGGGATTCGATCCCGGGTCTCCAGGATCGCGCCCTGGGCCAAAGGCAGGCGCCAAACCGCTGCGCCACCCAGGGATCCCTTTACTTTCTTTTTTTAAAAAAAAATATTTTATTTATTTATTCATGAGAAACACAGAGAAAGAGAGAGAGGCAGAGACACAGGAAGAGGGAGAAGCAGGCTCCACACAGGGAGCCCGATGTGGGACTCGATCCCAGGACTCCAGGATCACGCCCTGGGCTGAAGGCAGATGCTCAACCGCTGAGCCACCCAGGCGTCCCAGCCACCCAGGCGTCCCTATTTTTATTTTCTTTCCTCTTTTAATCTTCACTTTTTTCCTTTTATTTTTTTTCTTCTTTGGGATTGTTGGCCATTTATTTTTTTACTACTTACTTTAAAATTTCTTTTTCACTTTAAAGGTGCTTTTCTTTTATTCTGTTTTGATGTTTGTTTTAATTTTCTGGTTTCTAACCTCTTCGGAATCATCTAGGGTGTATTTTACTTAGGTTGTGGTTGATATTCTTGACTCAGCCCACTCATACAGCCACTATGCACTGAGCAAAATGATTAGAAGGAAGAATTCACCACAAAGGAAAGAAGCAGAATCAGTACTCTCTGCCAAAGAGTTACAGAATATGGATTACAATTTGATATGAGAAAGCTAATTCAGAAGCACAATTTTAAAGCTACTGGTGGCTCTGGAAAAGAGCATAAAGGACTCTAAGACCTTGTTACTGCAAAACTGAGATCTAATCAGGCCAATATTAAAAATAGATTAAATGAGATGCAATTCAAACTAGATGTCCCAATGAACAGAGTTAATGAAGTGGAGGAAAGAATGAGCTACATAAAAGACAAGTTGATGTTAAGGGAGAAAGCTGAGGAAAAAAAGAGAAAAATAATTAAAGGACCATGAGGAAAAGTTAAGGGAAATAAATGATAGCCTGAGAGGGAAGAATGTACATATACTTGGGGTTCCAGAAAGCGATAAGAGGGCCAGAGGACCAGAAAGCATATTTGAACAAATCACAGCTGAGAATTTCCCTAATTTGGGGATGAACAGGCATTCAGATCAGGAAATAGAGGAGACATCCCAAAATGATTAAAAAATGTTCAGCACCTCAACATTTAATAGTGAAACTTGCAAATTCTAAAGATAAAGAGAAAATCCTTAAGTAGCAAGAGACAAGAGATTCTTAACTCTTGGTGAGAAATATCAGATTAATAGCAGATCTCTCCACAGACACATGTCAGGCCAGAAAGGCCTGGCCAGATATATTCAGGATATAAAATGAACATGCAAC